GGTTTAAATGAGTCAAACCTGCGAGTTAACTGGTTTAAATGAGTCAAGAGTTAACTCGGTTAAATGAGTCCAACCTGAGAGATAACTAACTTGGTTAAATGAGTTCACCTGTGAGTTAGCTGGTTTAAATGAGTCAAACCTGCAAGTTAACTCTGTCACATGGAGTTCAACAGGTTTAGGGTTAAAGCAGTGTTCTGCAGAGGTTCAGGTTCAGCAGCTCATCTCTTCCTCACAGGCGGATGAACAGGAGATCCAGGTTCTCCTTGAGCCAATCAGGAAGAGCTTACCTGTCTCAGACACGCCCACTTGTTTATTCCCAGCAGGTATTTTTCTCAGTCGTGTGCAGCTTCATTTCTGATTATGGCTCAACTGCTGGGTTAAAAATAACTGGTTGTAGCCAGTGCGGGTTCCAGTTTGGACCGAGCCAACCCATGTTGGTTTTAACTCAGCAGGACTGGGGAAGATCTTTACCCAAAGATTTGGTTAAAATTAACTTATTTTTTTTATGTAGAACTTAGAATCTGGCCCAATAAACAAATAACTTGGCTAATGCTAGCAGCTATTAGCATCAGCTAGCTAGCACCAAGTTGTTAACCAGGTTAAACATCTTCCAACCCGTTTTTTACCATCGTACCTTTACTCTCTATGTCCTGCAGCAGAGGTCCAGTCAGGTCCAGCTGAGTCAACTTGTGGCTTTACATGTAAAGAACTGACTTGGTTCCTCCTTGAACCAACCACTGGGCCACTACGACCCATATCTGGTCGCATCAACCCAACCTTTGACCCAACACATTGAATTCAGAACCAAGTTCTCAACAAAACCTGGCAGTTTTTAGTACGTGGGCTCATTTCATGAAGAATCTCTGCAGCTGTGCATCGTCTCATCCATTTGTTCTGAGTTTCACCAGTTCAGGTTTCGGTGGTTCTGGTTCTGTGGCGTGTGTTCCTCTCAGATATGGGATTGCGGGCAACACGAACGTGACAGGAGACCAGGTGAAGAAGCTGGACATCCTGTCCAACGACCTGGTCATCAACATGCTCAAGTCGTCCTTCACCTCCTGCGTTCTGGTGTCCGAGGAGAACGAGAGGGCCATCATCGTGGATCCTGAGAAACGGGTGCGTTTGGGTCAGAACCACCAGCGATCAACTTGATCAGGATGTTCGAACAGAGCGCGTCGGTAGGCGATAACATCGATTATTTATTTCAGGGTAAATACATCGTGTGCTTCGATCCTCTGGACGGCTCCTCCAACATCGACTGCCTCGTCTCCATCGGAACCATTTTTGCCATTTACAGGAAGGTAACGACAAATACGACGTACGTTTGTCGAGAATTCACGACATCACTCATTTTAATAACTGTGTTCTGAATTTATCTAGAATTTAAAAAAAATAATAATAATCTGAAGCGTATAAGACACTTATTGTATGTGTATATATATCTCTCTCTCTCTCTCTATCTATCTATATATATATATATATATATATATATATATATATATATATATATATAGATATATAGATATATACGACCTTTTATTCATATCGGTGCTGCTTATCGCCAAAGTTGCCTTCAAAATAAAAGCAGAGGTTTTGAGTCATGTGCTGTTAATTTTTTTATTTTTATTGACGGCCCACGGGCCAATACATGCTTAAGTTCTGGTCGTGTTCTGTCAGACAACAGACAGTGAGCCATGTGAGGAGGACGCCCTGCAGCCCGGCAGGAACCTGGTGGCGGCGGGTTACGCCCTCTACGGCAGCGCCACCATGATTGTCCTCTCCACGGGTCAGGGAGTCAACTGCTTCATGCTGGACCCGGTCTGTTCCTCCTCATGGTTCTCAGACTGATTTCGCCCAGGCATCGTCAGGAGTTAGTGACGGCGTTCTGTACGTTCTGCTCCGCAGGCGCTTGGCGAGTTCATCCTCGTGGATCGAGACGTGAAGATCAAGAAACGTGGAAAGATCTACAGCCTGAACGAAGGCTATGCCAAGCACTTCGACCCGGCTGTGACCGAGTATCTGCAGAAGAAGAAGTTCCCCGAGGTACCGCCCATGTTCTTCCTGCTGCGTCAGGCTCTCAGGGTCCAGGCCCGCTTGGTACCGAGAAGCAGACCAGCAGTGGTGGACACCCCTACCCAAATCTTTAGCTTCGCTAACGCTAAACAACTCTGCAAACACTAAACGGGTAAAAAATTAGCAGAAGCTAATGCTAACTGCTAATCGCTAAGGCGACTGTCTGTCTGCATCACTCGTCTTCGCTCCTTCCAGTTGGAGACTGGTGGGACTGAGGCAGACCTGCTGGTTTGGTTTTATTGGGTTGGTTTGAAGGTGGGTGGGGTCATTTGTTGCAACTCAGCCAGTCATACCGGAGGTAGCCCTGCTAGGTGGACACATGTTGCATGAGGCACGCGTGCAGCGCTGCATGAGAGGAGATGGAACAGAAGTTTCAAACATCAGAGGAAGCGCTGGAGCTGTTCAGCTAGCTGCTGCTGCTGCGTCTGCCAATCACGTCACGTGTACATGTAGGCTGACTAACGGACTCTTCGAGACACGCCCACACCAGACGGGAACGAACGTGTGAATTTTGTTAGCGGACGTAAAGTTAGCGGAAGCTAATTCGTCCGTTAACGATTTCCAAAGTTGGAGAAATTGCTAATCCGCTTAGCGACGAATGATCTTCGCTGCTAGTGGCTTGGCGTCCATTGGTTGGATTTTTATCTGTTTAGTGGAAACTAAAGCAGCTTTTATGTCATGTATGTTATGTTTAAGCTCCACCTGCGGTTTCCTTGTTTTTGAGGCCTGATGAACTGTCTGCAGGACGGCAGCGAGCCGTACGGAGCGCGCTACATCGGCTCCATGGTGGCGGACGTCCACCGGACGCTGATGTACGGAGGAATCTTCTTGTACCCCGGAAACGTGAAGAGCCCCAAAGGAAAGGTGAGCTCCGCCGTCGGAGACCTGCAGGAGGAACGAAACCCGTTTCATGTCACGTCTTACGCTGATGACACCGTTTACTGCCGTTAATTCAGTAACGACGGATGACGTGTCGTTTCAAACCGATTAAATATTCAGTTTGATTTGAAATGTGTCTTAAACCTTGAGGTGTCTTTGTGTTGTGAAGCAGAGCAACGAGTTTTAAAGGTGCTCATGAAGTGAAGCGGTTCAGAGTTCTGTTCGATGTAACGGAGCTTCAGAAACTGGTTTCCTGGAACCTTCGTCTGTCACAACGAGTTTCTTCACCTCCACATCCTCTGGTTTCACAACAAACTGCACCGAGCTTGTTGTGAAGTCTTTAGTCTCCCTGATTTTAAACCTGTAAGGACGAGACGTTTAAAGGCTTCAACCAGGTTTTAAAGCGCCTGCAGCCATTTTACTGTCAATTTATTAAAAGTTATGTTTTATTTTTTAACTAATGATCAATATAATATGTAGTTCAGTGAAGACGGTTTGCTTTAATAAATGATAAAACGTTGTTGGCCCGTGTGACCCTGAAACTGAATGTTTTTATAAATTATACAATAAATATAAAATCATTAAAGTTCTGAAAAACAATATCAAAAGATTCATTTTGAGAAATGTTTTATAATCAAAGAGTTTCTGTCCTTTTACATGAAACAAACAAAATAAAATCTGATGACCAGTGTGGACGAGTCAGAACCAGTCCAGTGTTGGGACCCTGCTTCTGTTCTTTACTGGTTAAACACTTTTCAGATAGACGTCCTAGTTGATCTTATTTTCCTCCCCCTCTCATTTCTTCTCCTCCTCCTCCTCCAGCTGCGCCTCCTGTATGAATGCAACCCGATGGCCTTCATCATGGAGCAGGCGGGCGGCATGGCCTCCACCGGCCTCCAGAACATCCTGGACATCCAGCCGGAGAACCTCCACCAGCGCGCTCCCGTGGCCATGGGTTCTCCTGAGGACGTGCAGGAGTTCATCGCCATCTGCCAGAAACACGCCAAGAAGAAGTGAGGGCGGCCCGGCCCGGCTCGATGGAGAACCCTTCATCTCTGGACCACTTTTAATCTGAAGCTGGAAGTTTGTTTCTGTTCAAAGGGTTCTTCAGTGAAATGTTTTTATTTCAACAAACTCTAAATGTGAAACTTCTGTTTCCTAAAGTCACATTCCTGAAGAAAAAAAACAAAGGTTTTATAAAAAGTGCCAAAAATTAAAATATACTTGAATAAACATGAAGACGCTCATCAGCGGTTCCTTAAAGTCTGATTCATAAAAATATGACCTAACATAACCTCATGCTTTTATTGTGAAATTACTCTGTGGGCTCATGACTTCCTAATAAACAGGAAATACAAATAAATGTGTTTTTCTTCATTTGAATTGAGCCACGTCCTTTAAAAAGTGTTTTTTGTTTTAATTTGCTGCGTTCTTTAGAACTAAAATTCACTGAGAACAACAAACAGGAAGCTGAGCGAAGTTTCAGGGTTTTCAAAGTAAAACAGGAAATGAAACCTGAAACTGAAGAAGCTGGAACAAAAGCTGCAGCCACTGAAGAAGCTTTTATTTTGAAAGGTTGTGGATGTTTGGAATGAAGTTGACCTTTAAACTGAAAGGTCATGTGGGACTCTGTTGAGCAGCTGCTGAACAACAACTGATTAAAAATAAAATTTAAATCATCCTGAGGTGAAAAATCTGCAGGAAACAGACAAACTTTGTTTTGACGGAACCATCCAGAACCTTTCAGAACCATCCAGAACCTCAGTTTCATTCACGCATTTTTTATTTAATTTCAGCTTTTCAGATTAAATATTATAAATAAAAACAAACTTTAGATCAGATTCTGTGTTTCAGGCTGCTGAGTTCTGATGGACCGAGTCATTAAAGGTTCTGGTTCTGTGCAGCATTAAAGTGAATCCCTGCAGAAACCCAACACCACCACAGTCCAACCGGGTCACCAGATCACAAATAGATCCTCGGGGTCAGGGTCTGTGGAGCCCATTCACAGTCCTGCTGCCCTACAGGAAGGAGAACCAGAACCCAGCATGTCGGACCAGTCTGCATTTGAAACAGATGTTTGGACCCTGACCCGGTTCATCATTGAGACGGGCCGTCAGGCTAAGGGAGCCACCGGAGAGCTGACCCAGCTCATCACCGCCATGCTGACCGCCATCAAGGCCATCTCCTCTGCTGTGAGGAAGGCGGGCCTGGCCCACCTGTAAGTACCGACCCGTGGTTCTGGTACCCTCAACTCTCAAATGGGTTAGTCAGACCTGGACTGGACCCATAGGGAATACAGATGCTTTAAAGGCAGGTTCAGGATTTGTCAGACCAGGTCCAAGTCCAGAACCCAAACAGTTGAACGGGCTAAAACCCGGCAGAACTTTTAATTTGACAAAACTTTGTTTGTTTGTGTCTTAAACACCTCAGACTAAAACCAGAACCAACTTAATGTTCTCTGCTCCAGTGTCAGAACCTGAGACTCAAACCAGACTCTGTGTCGGATCAGAACCAGCTGCAGAACATCAGCCTCCAGCAGACTTTCCTGTTGTTGGACGTTTATTTTCAGTCCAGCAGCAGAACTGCTGGTTCTCCATCTGGCCGGTTCAACCAACAGAACCACGTGGAAGGTTCTGTTGTTGCTTCAGTCTGAGCGGAACGTGCCTCTCTGCAGAACCGATCCAAAGTTCTAATCTTGAAGAAACAAACGGTGGAGCAACTCGTCTGCCTGCAAGGAGTTAAACAAACTCACGACTGGACTTTGGACTGCTGCCTGGTTCTGGTCTCCTGGGTCGGTCCAAGTGGCTCAGGAGGAAATCTGAAATGTAACAACAGATAAAAGAAAGTTTTCATCTTCTGAAAATATGATCGGTACTGTGCAAAAGTTTTGAGCATTCTCCAAAGATCCAGACAGTCCTGAAATCTGTGAATGTGGTTCTGGATCTGCTTCCTGCTAAAAAAAATAAAGATTCTGGATCCACTTCCTGTTAAAGTGGTTCTGGGTCCACGTCCTGCTAAAATGGTTCTGGATCCACGTTCTACTAACATGGTTCTGGATCCACTTCCTGTTAGAGTGGTTCTGGATCCACTTCC